AGAATATTAATTAATAACAGACACTTAAATAGTTATATAAGACTTGGGTTTTTAACTTTAATAACTTGCAAAAAATTTAACATTGCATAATAATTACATACATAGTTGATTTAATCCACTATTTCTTTAACGATGGTTTAATCAGAAATTTACAATATCAAATAACAATAATGATAAATGATAATAACTGAGGTTATGTCATAGTTGCATATCTAAGATAGTAGTTATGTTAAAATAATATTAATTATCTTCTGTGCTATTACCTATCAGTTATCGTTGGTTGATAAATGACGCCATCAAATTATGGTCGTATCATAGTATAAATTCTTTGAAAAAAAAATATTTATTGGTACAACATTACACCATGTTACAGCGGTTACAGCCTTCCTAAATATATCAATATTTGATCGCCTGGGACAAATTTTCCCATTGCCCTCCCCCCCTTGATAAGGGATCGCATCCGTCAGAAATGATTAACGTTGATGTAAAAATACCACCTTTTATTTACATTAAAAAAAAATTAATGTATAACCATAATGATAAAAACGAAAAAGTTAGTTTGTAGTATAAATACATTTTATACTTCATTTCATTCATCCCGGGAGTCAATAGTTCTTGAATTAAACATGATATTTGTACATTTTATATTATTATTTATACTGATACTCTTTGTCGTGCAAGACTAAAAAGCAACAAATGGTTTTTAAAAACATTAAAGATTTTTTTTTGTTTAAATCATCGTACACTTCATTTTTACGAGAAATAAATGTAGAAGTTGTTTTTATATATATTTTCAAATAAATTAACACAAAGATTTTTGTACGAAAGATAATATCAGTAACAAATCAATCGCGGTGAAAACATTACTACTTGCACTTGGGCGTAGTTTTTTTTTTACAAAATACGTAGTGTTTAAAGATCAAAGAACAAAAATGCAGTCTATAACTATTCGCAGGCTCAAGGTTAATGTCTCGATGTCTCCACCTAATAACCGGTTTCTTCAGCAATGTGCATTGTTCGCCCGAAGAGCTTTTATATTTATATATATATATATATATATATATGTGTGTGTGTGTGTGTGTGTGTGTGTGTGTGTGTGTGTGTGTGTGT